AAAGCAGCGTTATGCCTAACTCACTCACTCACTTAACTGGGGCAGTCGGGTTGCCGGGTGGTTAAAGCGTTCGTTCGTCACGCCGAGGACCCGGGTTCGATTCCCGACATGGGTACAATGTGTGATGCCCATTTCTGGTGTCCCCGGCCGTGATATTGCTGGAATGTTGCTAAAAGCGGCGTAAAACCATACTCACTCACTCACTTAACTAAAGTTTACTACATATATCAATTTGTTAGTTATGATTACCAAAGGAAGTATAAACAATGTCTCAATGTTGACGACAATAGTTGGATTCTAGAGAGAGCTAGATACGGGCACCATACTGTGAGGCGTTGTACCCCTTTAATTCGTCGAATACGGCATTTATTGTCAACTTGTGATTACATTATTCTTCCTAAATAGAAGCAACATTAACCAATTAACGCTCATTACAGTCCCAAGCATGGGACAAATACTCACATGTCTGTAGACCTTGTAAAGCCATTGATACTAACAGTCAGTGCTCCTATATGCATGTCGTTTATCTAACTTACAGGTACCAGCTGTACAAAAGCATGCAGTGGGTGTATATAGCTGTATATAACGTTAGACAGAACTGCTACGTGACTGCCATTGTTCCTGCCGATAGCAGATTGTGATTTACGTTCAGAAGCATAAAGAAACTACACTTACAAAAAATGAATAAATTTAAGTAGACAATCTTTATCGGATATGAAATGTCACCTTTTTCGTATTTGCCGAGAGGAGATACTTGGAGGGTACTTTTTTGGACGAGTAATTATCTTGACGATATCTGTTATCAAATTCGTCGTTATAAATGGGTTAATGGTTGAACCAGACAGGCGCTATTAGATACTGTCAAATAGTTACAAACAGTTACCAGTTTCGAGCCTAGGGCAGGACTTGCGTGTCCATGCCAAGCTTGGTGACGTCATTGACATAACGGAACATAGTGATGCTAAATGAACCGAAAACTGATCATCATACCACAGGGCGTTCACAAACCGTAAAAAGCTTTACTTGACATATATGTGAGTTTCTTCGACCATAGCGTCGTCGTGCATGTTGGGTGGAAACGGCCGGGTGCAGTCTTATGATACGAACCTTATACCGTGTATACATACATCAGCCATATAAAGTCAAACCTTGTTAGTCCGGACTTACTGGTTTCAAACCATCCAGACTTCCCGGAATTGGGTACAGAAGACGTCGGCGGTTCGATCCCCGTCGCGTCATACCAAAAGACGTTAAAAGATTGTACTTGCTGTTACCCTGAATGGCGCTCGGCATGATGGGGCTAATACAAGATTGGTTGGTTGGTTGGTTTATTGTTTAACGCCGCACTCAGCATTATTCCAGATATATGACGGCGGTCTGTAAATAATCGAGTCTGGACCAGACAATCCAGTGATTAATATCACGAGCATCGATCCACGCAATGGGGATCGATGACATGTATCAACCACTGATCGGTTCGGGGTCAGTATACTGCGTCTGGGTGGGGTATTCATGTTAAACTGCGGCCTAGTGTCTCAGTGGACTAGCACTTTAAACCAGCAATAGGCCGAACTAGTACAAGTCGCCACACACACAGGTGCGTGCAAATCGCTATAAAAGTGCAATAATCTTGAACGCGACGTTAACCCCCTTTTACTTCGCCTCTCAATCATAAGAACAATATTCATAAAAGGTCATTATAAAAAATACAGTAGCAAATTAAGTTCACTCTACCTGTCTATAGCTGATTATTCTGTAACGGAAAGCCAACGTCACAACAACAGCGCAAATGAACGCGTTCCGTATTTAAACACTTACATATATATGTATGAATAAATTTCAAAAAAAAATTCGACGATCACAACCAATTTAACTCATTCAGAATTTTGTAACGCTATTCACACATTGATTAAACCTGTTAGATAGGCGCGGCTCATGACTCAGCAGGACAATGAAGCTTCAGGAAAATGCCGAAAACTTGTATAAAGATATACAAAGCATCGCACAAAAGAAAAGTCAATAAAACGTGCTAGAAAGACGGTACAATATGGCTATGTCCAAGGTGAAGTGTATTAGGACCACATATGTTAGCAAATTTCCATTTCAATCAAACTGGAATACGACGCCTATATACCCGTGGTTCATATGTTGTGGCATATTTGTGACGAAAACTGTGGGCTCTTTAACTTCATGTCTTTGTCATATACAGAGAAAATGGCTGAGTATGATTTAGGGTGCACTAGACTGAAGAGCTGACAGCTGTATGTATGTATAATAATAAAAGGTACTGTCATCCCTCGTTAGTGGCGCCATACTGACTGTAACACTGACTGCCTAAGATATGTAACTTAACTGAATAAGTAAAAGGCGACTGTGCTTGTTGTTAGAGGCGACTAACGGGATCACGTGGTCAGGCTGGATGAATTAGTTGATATATGTCATCGTACCCTAATGGCGTGGATCGATGCTCATGATGTCGATCACTGGATTGTCTGGTCCAGATTCGATTATTGACAGACCACCTTCATACAGCTGGGATATTGCCGAGTGTGGCGTTAAACAACAAACAAACAGATAATAAAGCTACATTAGTTACGGTTGTCGTTCCGTCCCCTCGTTTACTGTCATGTCATGATAGTGAGTGAGTTGGGTTTAACGCCGCTTTTAACAGTATTCCAGTTATATCGCGGCGTGTCAGCTTAATGTTGGAGGAAAGCCCGAAGTGATGCAGGTCTCAGACGTTTACCACTTCGGTGAAACCCACGAGTACGGGTATGGTGCTGGTAAACCTAGAAACATTATCGGGGCGAATCGGCATTCGAACCCACAATCATAGGTTTCTGGCGTGCCCAAGGGACGCAACTCTGCACAGCGAATCGCGGCGCCTTAGACGACTGGGCCACCTGTGCCCCCTCATGTCATGATAAGGTTTGAAAGAGATTTTGTCGTTACCTGCTTCTGTAAACATCAATTTGCTTATACATGTATTTTCTTTTTAATCCCCTTTGTGTATTGTGTATGTTGTAAACATGTTCTTACATTTTAAATACCATTTTGAAGAGTGAATGAATGTTTTTTTAACGCCGCAGTCAACACTATTCAAACTTTATCATAGTTGTCAGTAAACATTCAAGCCGAGGCCAGGTAAATCAGTGGTTTGCTCCCGTGAAGATCCGGGTTAGAATAGGTCTTCATCAACCCATGCTTGTGTAAAAAGCGACTAACGGGTTCGGGTGGTCAGGCTCGCTTACTTACTTGATGCATGTCATCGAGCCCAATTGCGTAGATCGATGCTCATGATGTCAATCACTGGATTGTCTGGTCTAGACTCGATTATTTACAGACCGTCGTAATATAGCTGGAATATTGATGAGTGCGGCGTTAAACAACATGCAAACAAAAATCAGTGGTTGGCTGCATGTACAACCATAAACGCCGTCGGATCAGGAGAACAGACAATCCGGTCGCATGATGTAATCACTAGATCCTGCCGGGGCGGTCGGGTAGCCTAGTGGTTAAAGCGTTCGCTCGTCACGCCGAAGACCCGGGTTCGAATCCCGACATGGGTACAATGTGTGAAGCCCATTTCTAGTGTCCCCCGCCGTGATATTGCTGGAATATTGCTAAAAGCGGCGTAAAACCATACTCACTCACTCACTCACTAGATCCTGCCCGTTGGGTGGTGGGATTGTGGTTCAGCTTTCGCTCGACACGCCAGTGGCCCGGTAGGAATTCCCCAAATGGATGCAATGTTGGAAGCCCATTTCCGGTATCCCCCGCCGTGGTATTGCTGTTAAATGCGGCGTAAAACCGTACTCACTCTCATAACTTGGTTCTAAAGATTGTATGTATCTATTTTACCACGGAATCTCGACGAATGTTGGTTTTGAAGAACCCTTGGAGATTCGCAAGTGTATCTCCCCAAGATTTGCAGGACGCGACTTAAATAGATGTTGGGCACTTGCATGGATACAATGTACTATCCTGGGGTGAATAGAGTCTACTATCCTGGCATGAATATACTCTACTATCCTATTGCGTTCAGTAGTCGTGTTGGGATCCGTTGTTTATGGGATCGAATCCCAGATCCGTCCCTCATCTTACCATTGGTCAGTCAGCACCATACCCCTGCTGGGAGTTTCATCACATTAGTCAATACGATCTTCGTCATCTTAGACTTGTATCACATATAAAGCTGTCATGCAATAAACTGTTCCTAGCGACGTAAAACCCAATTCACTCACTAATGCAGTGTTTCATTCTTGAAGTAATGGTTTGCTTACTCAAGCTCCGAGAACTTAAACTACCGTGGTGAGGTTACTTACTGCTGACAACTATGTTCTATACAATTATCTCATTACGTTTTAGGGTGGTGAAGTAGTCTTGTGGTTAAAGCGCTCGCTCGTCACGCCGAAAACTCGGGTTCGATTCCCGACATGGGTACAATGTGTGATGCCCATTGCTGGTGTCCCCCGCCGTGATATTGCTAGATTATTGCTAAAAGCGGTGTAAAACCATACCCACTCACTCACACGTCACGTAGAGGGGGAGCGGGTGGCTCAGTCCGACATGCATTTTCACAAGATGCAGTGTGTTGCATGTAACAAATTGTGTACAATTGATGTACCGCGTAAATGCCCCTTAAGGCGTCACCATTCACTGAGCGGAGTAGCGCCCCATAAGCGTGACACAATTCAACCCTGATCATGTTTCTAAGTTTCATGGGGACACGGGTGGCCCAGTCGTCTAAGGCGCCGCGATTCGCGGCCGTCTAAGGAGTTGCGTTCCTTGGGCACGCCAGAAACCTATGATCGTGGGTTCGAATCCCGGTTCGCCCCAATTATGTTTCTAGGTTTGTCAGCACCATACCCGTGCTCGTGGGTTTCACCGGACTTTCCTCCGACATTAAGCTGACACGCCGCGATATAACTGGAATACTGTTAAAAGCGGCGTTAAACCCAACTCACTCACTCACTCTAAGGACTGAATAAAAAACAGCGTTTAAAGAAACATTTTTTATTGAAATATTTACACAAATATTAAAAGGTTCATAATCTCAATATCAAATTTGCTTTGTCAAACGAAACTGACCGACATTCAATCTGTTGACACACTTCTCGGAGACGATGTTAAGACGGAGATGGCTATATGTACACTTCGCCAGCACGAGGATCGACCACAACGCAGAGAGAACAAGGGGTAATATATAACAATGTTTCCGTAAATGAAATCGAAAATAATTCAAACATTATCAAAAGTGTTGAGAATAAGTTGAAATATACCTGATCGAATGATTGAACACATGATGTGTAAGTGAAACCTAACTGTTCAACAGGCAGTGCGTGTGCAGAATTTGAATCAATGAAGTTTGCGTGTAGTGTGACATTGTGAACCAAAACTGTCATAATCCGAGCTGAAATGTGTTCACATTTGAAATCTTTAGCATATTGATCACAAAAGCGGTTGATTATTTCCCCAATTGTGAAAATCTCTTTCACCCCTGCGTTGCAGCCCCTCCCCAACCCATTAACAGAGACATAGACACAGAAGAACGCGTGTCCCCCATTTTAAAGATGAGCGGGTCTAGTTTGTTGTCTCCTTGCCTTCGCGGCAGACGCTGGGAAGGCTCTTCTCGTAGAAAGCCGACATGATGTCGCCTATTGTCTGACTGCACCCTCTCAGTACCTCCACCTCGCACTGGGTACGCCTCTCGGCCAGACTGGAACGTAAGAAAGATCAATTGGAATAATATGTAAACAAGCACGAAGCTTCGGTTTCAAATGTTCTTTTGTCATGCAACGTTATTCATACATTCGGAACACACCTGACATTACACAGTAGAGTTACAGCTCCGAGAAATATCGGGGCCATGGCGACCCCAGTTTTAGACGCGGACCTCAGAGAAGACAGTTTTAATGTCGACAGGTGTTCGTGATTATTCTTTATATAAATAAACTGTTGTATACACTTGATACATCTCGGCAAGGTGAGAAGGTTAAGTGTAGGTCAAGGAGCATGACTGCGACTTTGTATTAAGTCATCGTATACATATTATAAGGCCCATGCATATCGTAAGAGCTATGTGAGTGAGTGAATTATGGTTAAACCATAATCCTTCCACGCCATCGTGACACTATGGACACAGTCAAGAAGTAGCCGAACCCGACTACTGAATCCTCGGGTTTTAACACCAGCATTGGATACTGGGTGCTTACTCTCCCCGGAATTACACGAACCTGACCGATATTTAGCGAGGAAAGGAAATTAATTTATTGAAATGCTTTATGGACGTATATGGTTGATAACAATAAACTTAGTCGGGGTTAGGTTTGAGCTGGAAATAGATTTTATTCCGGAAAATACGAAACATTATGCATTTTTGTAATCAGTTTTGTAGTAGCACTGAGTGTATTGAATTTATTACTTAACTCTGTCATAACCATGATCTTTCCAGTAAAAAAGATCGGTGGGCTGGCCAAGTGGTTAAAGCGTTCGCTCACGCTGAAAGCTCTTGTTTAATGTGTGAAGTTCATTTCTGGTGTTCCCCGTCGCGATATTGTGGAATATTGATTAAAGCTCCGTAAGACCATAGTCACTCACTCACTCCAGTAAAAGAAGTGATGCAGGCGCCAAAGAATTCATTATTTTCTTTACACATCATGGATTATAAGAAGACAAAAGAAATTAGAGAGTGAGTGAGTGAGTGAGTATGGTTTAACGCCGCTTTTAGCAATAGTCCAGCAATATCATTGTACTCATGTCGGGAATCGAACTCGGGTCTTCGGCGTGACGAGCGAATAAAAGAAATTAGATGATTATGGGCAGCTTGAAATTCAAACTTACGCGCAGACGAGGGTTTTGGTGACACTGTTGGAGAGTTGTCTTTCCTTGCTGCCGAACCGGATGACAACGGAGAGGTAGCCGATGTATGTGTTGTACTGGGAGTAGCATGGCATCAGGCTGGTGGTGTTCATCAGGCAGGAGAGGTCGTCATCTTCCTCGATAACTGAAGGAGAAGACGTTACAGCTGTCACTGTGGTGTGTTTCACGGCTGAGGGACATGTTTGTGATTGTCCAAAAGTATCATGCATTCACACGCAATATTACTCTACTGGCAGTCTTTGGAGGTACATTCGAACATGTTCTTTCTACGAAGATTTCAAAGAGGGTCACACGACTATATAAATAAAGGTTGTATTGTTGACGGTAACTGTTATTGCAGACATGTGGAGGACATTACCAACATGATGTTGATGCAGTTCCCTATTTGGACGTGTACCATGTGATCCCGTATATTTTAACAGTGAACATTTGACTTGCCTTTGCATGTGTTTGTGAGGAGTGCCACCGGGTGGCAGGATACGCTCAATTTTTCGTCACTGGTATCATCACTAATTGATTGGACCGCCTCCGTGGTCTAATGGTAGAGCGTCCGCCCGGAGAGCGGAAGGTCCGGGGTTCGATCCCCAGCCGCGTCGTACCCAAAGACGTTAAAAGAAGGTACTTGTTGTTACCCTGTCTGGCGCTCGGCATTAAGGGGCTTAAACAAGTCGGCTGGTCGGTTCGGAGACAGTATACTGTGTCTGAGTGGGGTATTCATGTTTAACTGCGGCATGGTATCTCAGTGTGCTAGCACTATAAATCGGCATCAGTCCGGACTAGTACAAGCAGCCACACACACACGTGCAGGCACGTCGCTATATAAGTGCAATGATGTTGGACGCGACGTTAAACCCCATTTCACCTCACTAATTGATTGTGATGCATGAGCACATGCTTATGATATAGTCGGAATCGTACAGCAGACTCTTTTGGCAGAGTTTATTTATGATCATGGAAAGGGTTTGGTCGTAAGTGTGGACTTACGTGTGAGGTTGTCACAGAGTCCGGCGTAGGCCTCGCTGACTGTTGACTTGTCGAACAGTGGACGGAACACTGAGGAGATCTCGTTCTCGGAGGAGCTGAGGTTCTCGTCGATACACTTGACAAACTTGTCCTTGGCCCTACAGGGGATGAAGAGTAGCTCAGTCAGAACAACTAGTGAACATATGTGGTTCTTTTAAACAGTTTGATTTAAGGAGAAAGAAGATGTTTCTAAATCCATACTACAAACTGAACTGTGTGATATACTGACGTTGTAGATAGAATAAGCCAGACACTTCTATTTTTTTACAAACTGGGGCCAAACTTTGTTATTCTTCATCACTGTACTTCTAGATTAAATTATATGGCATCATTATTTGATTTCGTTTTATGAAAGTGTTGTGTATCACATGTTAAAAAAAGATACTTACTTGCAGATGGATTTGAAAGCCTTCTGGGTAAAGTTTTTCGATACTGGCTCATCGGCTGGTGGGGCTTCGAACTCGGTATCGTTGGCGATCATAGACAGACACCTGACCACGCCCCCACCCATGACGTCAACTTCAGGCTCGCCATAGACCATGGACAGGAACACCACTAGGTGAACACAGGAACACAAGGTCATTATGGTTGACTATACCATAATATTGATCAGCAAATGTTATTGTTTAGTTAAGAATTGACTTCAATATTTTGTTTGCATTAATGCAGGTATAAACGTTCAGCAGTGTGCACACTTTGTAACTCCGGGTATCAGATTTACGCAAAATGTGCACACCAGGTATTACGTGTATAGACGGGTTAAAAAATTAATTTTTTTATAAAAATATTCTTCAATAATAATAATAATAATAATATCACAGACTGCATTTTTAATCATTAACACAAAAATATGGTGAACAATACGAAATCAGTGACAAAGTTCCGCGCACTTATGCAACATAAACCCGCCCCTTCTATTATCAGCCAATCAGGAAACAGTAGCACGCTAGTTGGCGTGGCCTAATTTCATTTCGGAAAAATATTTTGGTTGGTCAGTCAATCAAACGCCACGGAGTCACCTGCAATTTATTAATAAGTGTTTGTCAATTTATCTCAGGCTGTGTTTTTGCCCGAGACAACAATATCGCAGTTACGTGACAAAAACCTGTGAATGGTCGAGTCTGGACAAGTGGTCGATAGTATGAAAAAATACCAGGTTATGATGACACATTACTAGGTAGAGTACTTTGCAATCACCTTATCGCTATGTAGCCCACTCACATATATGTTGATTTCGCTGATTTAGATCGTTTAAAATATTGAGACCATTTACACTTACAATATATATATTTGACTCAAATGATTAATATCCTTACACATTTTGTGGAAATAAATATATTAATAGAAAAAAAATTGAACATAGGAAATATATCCATAAATGAGAGCGACAGCCTTCTTGATAATTTGAAAAGTGAATATACTTGTAAATAGACTTAAGAATGATCATTGTGCAAGCACTGACCTGTCGTTTCAAAAATGAAACTGACAATGTCTTTTATTCTTTTGGAGGTCAATTATTATTTGTTACTTTAGAACTAAAACTGAATGCCTGTATTACTGTTAACATCAAACTTCAAAACACAATATACTGCCAGGGAGAGATATTTAGAATATAACCCCATTGGCTCCAAATCACAATAGAACGTGTGTTTTTCAATAATTTGTTGCATTCTCTGCTAATGGCTTTGAAGTCGTGAAGGTTTTGAACACTTACCAGCAAGCAATCCTATGAAAGTCTTCATGATGATTCGGTGAAAGTAAAATCCAAACCGTGGTTCAAAAAGCTATTGCAATAGTTGAAACTCAACTCGAAATGACAGTGTGTGTTTTTGCCCGCTTTTTATAAGTTCGAGACTGCGAACGGCACAAGGTGTCCCAAGTCGGAAGTTAGCACTGGTTGGTCGTGTCGGTAGAGTGGGGATGTCACCTCCCTCTAATCTCAGTGAACCCGCTAAGCTTCCTTACCACTGCCTGTGGATATTCTAACACACGTGAATCGTTGTTATTGACGTCATTACCTGTTTGTGAAATAAACTTTCTTGGTGATTTCTTGAAGTTCTTCAGAATTTTCAAATTTGCTTTTTGCTTAATTGTATGGAAGATAATCCACACTTAAACTGCGTTGAAAATATGTTTTAAAAATAATCGACGTGAGTACACTTAGAAGCAGCTGAACAAATTCAAATAGGGTTCTAAATTGTGGAAAAAAGTCTTCCTATATTTTTTCGTGTTTTAAAAATGTGTTTTAGATGTATTTTATTGTTTGCAAATAATTCCTTATTTGTATTGACGTTTCCTATCCAAATGTATTCCGATGATGCAAATTAGCTTGACGGAAAGAAAAGCACGTTCAAACATCGCGGCGACGTGATTTTATGGCACGTGACCCAAGTATCACGGTCAAGTTGGCTTCTCTCACGTCCGCGCGTCTCGCACCTGTTTATCAACTGTGACATGGTGACCTCGGCTTAACTCTTCACTTCGTTACGATTGCAACCTCAGCACATGTAGAACGGTTGTGTTTCTTGTTGAGCCCCTCCATGCTAAATTCCTTATGTTTGTTACATTTGATGATTCATCAGTTCCTAACTTTCGAAAATGAAAGTTAGATGTTATTTTACTTGGCGAAACATTATTTCGAATACCTTATTCAATACATTTCTGTAATGGAAGCTAGTTTTGACTAACGTGGAGGGGGGATACGCGTGCATCTTTTGAAGTTTTATTTACTCTTTCTTCGTTGGTGATCGAGTTTACCTTGGACTAAGAACATGTGCATGTTGTTTGACGCATAGTACACAAATGTCTCGAATCAGGAAATCTCCAAACATTTGGTTTCAAGTTACATTTCATACTTCACTGCAAATATATATTCACATGCCAACGTAAATATGAGCATATATATATTCTGTGAATTTGACTTTATATATAAATTATACGTTAAACTGTGTCCACAACAAAACATTTTGACAAGACCAGTGTACATTAATGCAGTTTTAATGCGCGCTTAAAGGGCTTAACGGAAATTAATATCTCAAATTGTCTTTCCCCTTCAAGCTGCTGTACATCAATCATGGGAAATGAAAGTTACCAGTCATTTCACCAAAACGTGCATCAAGAACACACAAATTGCAAGGCAAAATCGCACATTTCACATATTCGTTTTACATTTTAAGTTTAAAAAAGAAAACTCTTTAAAAGGTCAACTGGGTTCATCTTCGATTGAGTGAAACACCAGTAGACTTTTTAAGTTCTATGCTTTAGGAACATGATTGCAGTTGCTTTGCCTTCAAGGTTATGTATTAACTATAGAAACTCTCTCCTGCTACATTCAGGTCGAGAAAACTCCATATATTCGGGTGATAACAAAATTATTCCATTAATGATTTCGATATTCTTTGTTTGTTTTAATGCATGCTTAAGACTACAATTAGCATGCCAGGGGAATCTGACGTGTGTACGTAATTAGAACAGTATCAGGTGGCTTTTGGAAAAATAGAAAACACGTCTGCATTTCCTGGTGTATAGTAAAAAGTAACAGAAATAAAGTCAAGGTTAATCTCTGAATCTCGTCCGGTTTGTTAGGGCTGTGTTGGAGGATATGAAAGTTGTCAGTTTCCTGCAACTTCTATATTTTCTTTTAAAAGCCACCATATCTTGATAAGCGGGAAGAGCTGAATGGTACGGCCTACTGACAACTACTTCGCAGTTCACCCATTCTTAAACAGTTATGAACGGTACAGTTAGATCACCTTGAGATATATACAACACATTAGATGAACTCAACCTGTGAAGAGAGCGTTGTCTTTTTTACATTGCAAACACGTTTGCTTCAGTGGTTGTGGTCATATTTAACATCAACCATTATGAACATTTTCAACATGTTGTACATTGTTAAAGGTGTTCCAGCATGGTATGAACTTCAGCTAATTTGCCTGCTTTGTGGGGGGTTTTCAGTTACATCACGGCGTGTCAACTCAATGTTGGGAAAAAGCCCAAACTGATCAGATCATTAACGTTTACCACATTCAATTTCATGGAGTATTTCAAGTGTCTGCCCGGTTTCCGCGTTAAACCTACACATGTAGATCTACCATAAAATACTTATATCTCGGCAGCTAATGGTCATAGTCATTGAGGATATGTCTATTAGCGAAAGTAATTCAGGTTCAGGTTCTTGTGTACAGTTTGAGAATATGCAAGTTTGTTACAATCCTACCAGGGTATAACGGTCACGGTCACGTCAAACGAAAACACATCAATATTACCCATAAGGGAAGAATGGGCGTGTGTAATGACTATCCGATATTTCCACATTTGCATCTTTGCGAATCTCAATGCTGATTGGTCAGTTGAAGCCATAATTCTGATATTGAGGTGCTTGGTGCTGGAATGCGAGTATGGCTTTCCAATCGGAAGACTTCATCTATTCCATGTAACTGCGAAGTCTGGGTTCGGCTCCCACAAGTGACCACCTTAACCACTAGCCTTTCCAACAACTAGTGATCAAAACATTTCATTGTCCTCCTGTGCACTTGATCTTTTAGGCCACCACAGTAAGCATTAGTCCTGATTGTATCACAGCAGCCTGTAAATAATCGAGTCTGGCCCAGATAAACCATCCGTTGTTACCATGTGAAATTAAGTCCCGCAAACTTCTGAGTGAGTGAGTGAGTGAGTTGGGTCTTACGCAGCTTTTAACAGTATTCCAGTTATATCGCTGCGTGTCAGCTTAATGTGGGAGGAAAGCCCCAAGTGATGCAGGTCTCGGACGTTTACCACTTTAGTGAAACCCACAAGCACAGGTATGGTCGGGGCGAACCGGGATTCAAACCCACAATCATAGGTTTTACGTGTGCCCAACTGTGCACAGCGAATCGCAGGCCTTAGACAACTGGCACACCCGTGCCCCCTCGCAACCTTCTGAATGTACTGTTTATGCCACAACAAACAAAGCTTTAGTCCTCCGCTGCTGGGAAACTGGTGTTTTAATAACATAACTGTTACAATGAGGTTGACAATAACAGTGGATACCTCACACTCAGTGGTCAAGAGTCATCGCTTGAACAAATACTATTGGAAACAAATAAACAATTCGTTGAAAGTTATACTACACATCTTGACAAATCATAGAAACAAGAAATAGAATCAATAGCAAACCATAATGAAAACATGTAAACCTGGGCTAAACAGTCCATTTATACAAGATGTACAAAGTTTGTTTTCTAAACAATCTCCAGTTTTGAGCAGAAGTACAACATCATTATCATAAGAAAAGTAAACAAAATGTAACATGTTTTCTCCAACATTATAAAGCAACCCTTTCCAATACTAACATGATATACTTCTCAACATTTACTAACGACAAAATGTACATCTTTAGTCATCTTAGCAATGTTGGGTAGTGTAGTTGAAGTATTTCTCTCAGCATTAAACAGAGCTGTTGGAATTTTGTTAGACATCCATTTCCGAAATAAAGCCTCATGGTATTATAGTCTTAAAGCAAATAAAATGCTTATTTTCAAGCCTAGAAGATGTAATGACTCTCCAACAATGTGAGTAGCACCTTAAATACAAGATAACACAAAGAGTCATAAAATTGTCACATATATGTTCCTGCTATTTTCTAATACCTTTCACATAAGCAGAACAAAGTCTCAACACTGAAATAAAAGTTTTTATCTGTGAATATGGAAATATTTTCTCCTTAAACGTCTGTTTTCAACTTATTTTAATACAATATATATTTTTAAAAAATTAAATATTAGTTTTACTGACAATTGTTTCATATGTAATCCTCAGTTACCCTTGTGTGTTCAATCTTGGCTCTGTTGCATATATTCTTAAACAAATAATACTGACATACACTGATACAGGAAAATCCTCAAAATACAAATTAAATGAATGTCGATAAAAGGATGGGATAACAAGGAAGAATAATGACAGAAGAGCATACAAATAAGAAGTTGAAAAGATAGCATACAACACACCAGTGAAGCTAAAGCAAGATCAGGGCAAAACTCAGTTTTATCTCACATAACAATGAAATATTCGTTTTGACTGTAAACACCCAAAACCTGTAAACACAATTACGTAAAATGTCTTTTTTTCTGGTAATGTTTGACACTACCTATGAGCACCCTCGATCAAAATCTTGTGAAATTTTATTTATCTCGTCACATTGAAACCAATGAATTAAAGTTTTGAGATCATCTGTTCCATCCCAAAATCCTCAACCCTTATAAAAAAACCTAAAAATTAAGCAATAATAGTTTTTATATTTGTCTTGAACCCTGGAGATGGCTGTCTTATTTGAATTTAAAATAATCTATGGCCACCCGGTTTTGCCCTCGAGGTATACAACAGACCACATTGACAATGTTGAATCACAGACTCTCCTCCTTCACACAGGTAAATCACAGTTTTGTCATTGGGACAAGCAACACATCTAAACTAACAAAAACAGACAACAAAACCTGTAAATCGATTACTCAAAGATCTTCAAAGCAATCACAATAAATGAAAAGGAAATGAGTCAAAACCACAAGGGATATGTGCTTCGCTGGATTTTCATGTACTTCATATATTTGTTTGATCATATGGATAATATTATTTTTACTTTCCCTTGCATTTTTGTTCAATGAGGAAACCTTCTTCAGCCAGTGACTTGCAAGTTAAAATCATTTATCAGTATCAGGGCCCACTTGCACAGAGTGATCTTAGTGCTAAGACTATCGTAAGCCTACGTTAAAGTATGGGAGTTATGATCATCTTAGTACTAAGATCGCTTTGTGCAAATGGGTCCAGGTAAATAGGTGTCATAATTTCAAATCTGGTTAGATTGCATAAAAAAAATAGTTTTCAGCACCAGATGAATATTTGGAAAAACTAAAAACATCACTTTTCTTGATTAGCCTGAACACATACAAGTTATGTGATATTTTAAATATACATTTTTTTTAATATGGATGTTTAACTGTTCACTACCTAGGATCTCTTCACATTTTTATCAGTCCAGTTTGACCTTCACTTGACCCCTCTGATTATTCACTTTAATTGAATGAATAAAGAATCTGTCTGCATCCATTTAAGATCTTCACTGGTTTGACCATGTTCTCTGATGTCATTAACTGATTCAGTCTCCTCAGGAAACTGGCATGGCCAACCTAATGAAGCAGCTACCATCAGTCTATTGCTGAAGACTCGGTTCCAACCCATGTCATCCTTCACAAGCAAATCTTTTAAAATATTATTTTAGTTTTCAGCTTATTAAAATTTGTTTTAAGTATTTATCCAGTCTGCATCCCAAAATATGATCAGGAAAGATGAGGTGGCTCTTGAACAGGTGTACTGGTCTCTGACCCATTAAACTAAACTGTTGTGCCATTGATAACCATTTATGCAATAAACATAAATTATAATCTATTAAGTCATAAAAATACATTAAATGATATATGATATAATAAAGAAAAAATAAGATTTGTAATTCATAAAATGAAAGTAAAATTTGTCACCTTTAATTTTGTTTGTTGTGATAGAGATGGTCTGTTTGTTTATTATATTGATTGTGCCTATTTATCAGTTCATATACATAGCACAAGGTACATCGAATCATAAAATGTATTACGCAGAATATTACAACTGATAGAAATAATACCCACGTAATCAAATGAGATTTAAATCACACAAAGGTACGAAATGATACAAAAACTACCAACTAAGTTTGACTACAAAATACACAACATCTGCAACTATAGTTATAATAATTTATATATGTGCATTGTTAACAAATGCAGAGTATTTGTAAATATACATCATGTTTCAATTATCACAAACATCTGGCCATTTCTTCACATTTAAAGTCATTTCTGGTGTCCCCTGCCGTGATATTGCTGGAATATTGCTAAAAGCGGCGTAAAACCATACTCACTCACTCACTCACTCACATTTAAAGTTAACCTTTTTGTGAAATAGTTGAGCCTGTGCTATCAGAGGAAGCAATCCTGTCTGAAACAGAGTGTATCATAACAAGCCATCAGTGCACACTGGAGAAAGGATTGTTACACTATCGGTGCACACTTGAGAAAGAATTGTTACACTATCGGTGCACACTGGAGAAAGGATTGTTACACTATAGGTGCATACTTGAGAAAGGATTGTTACACTATAGGTGCACACTTGAGAAAGAATTGTTACACTATTGGTGCACACTTGAGAAAGGATTGTTGCACTATCGGTGCACACTTGAGAAAGGATTGTTACACTATAGGTGCACACTTGAGAAAGAATTGTTACACTATTGGTGCACACTTGAGAAAGGATTGTTGCACTATCGGTGCACACTTGAGAAAGGATTGTTACACTATCGGTGCACACTTGAGAAAGGATTGTTGCACTATAGGGGCACACTGAAGAAAGGTGGAGAAAGGATTGTTGCACTATCGGTGCACACTTGATGACTTGATATATTATTGTTGTTAACAACACTGGAATTTGATGAGGGAGTTGTTTCTCTATCTGCTCATTTGCATATAGGTGAATAAATATTCACGTGTCGGTTAACACTATTAGTGCAGTGGAGGACAGTGACAGGAGGTCTTCTTGTGTTTCTAGTTGCAGGTACTGGGTTGTTGTAGCAGTAAAGGTCACTCTGGTTTGTAAAGGTTACATAAACTGAACAAGAAAGGTTTGTGAAAAGACTTACAGATTTTGGCATGAGAAAATCTTTACCTGGTATATTTGAGTTCAATTATGATTCATTAATCTGAAATCAAAGAATCATCCTAGTTGAAGGCATTTAAATATATATATATACAGTATATATAATGATATGGAAAATAACATCATTACATGTAGATATGTTAAAATACCCATTTGAAGCTTTTCTTTCTTAACTACCAGCCCCAAATGGGCATATAACAGATAACCTTCAAAATGCATTGATGGAAGCGCATGTTAGATTGATTACGCTTCTTTGGGGCTAAGCTGTCTCACTTACCAGCCCAAGGTCAGCATAAAGTGCCTAATCTCTATGTATGGTTATATATAATCAAATTGGGCAGAGCTATCTCATTCACCAGCCCAAAGTGAGCATACACCATTTAATACCTTCCATAATGCATTGTTAAAGTACACATACATGATTATGATAATCCATTGGAAGGGCTATGCTGTCTCACTTACCAGCCCTCACAATGGATATTAATGATGATGTGAAGAAATGAAACAACTGATATGTCTTCTCTTCTCTGACTGGGTAACTAATATTTTGACATTTAAAGATGAATACTAACTTTATACAATGTAGGCAATAATATGATCTGATAAACTTTGAACATATACTCACCTTCAGTATTGAAAAAATGCAGTTAATGACGATGCAGATAAATGGTATACATACATTATATCATACAGCCCCATAAATATATGATTGATAATACTCTATTCTAATAGTTCCCCTGCGTGGAATGATGAAAGTCTATAGAAATAGTTAATATCATATGTAAACATACACATTTGTAGTAGATCAGTGTATGTTTCCGCAAGGGAAATGACAACTCACAAAGCCTGCCACAACAACTTCAAACTGACCAACTGTTTCATCAAAGACTCGCATGTGGGCCTACTGAGGACATGCTTACCCTTTTCACAAACCCCTGGTGTCATGACTTATTTTCAGTGATCCATTCATATAATTTTATCACTATTTTGCCTTTTTATGCATTGGAATCTGTTTGGGCAGATAATCGAGACAGTTTATTCTCTGGTATTCACACACCTGTATTATATTTATGAAACATTTTGGACATACACAGACCACAATATATATTTCTATGAATACTGTAAAGCTGTAATGTGTTGGTGCCATGGATAGCTAATGCACTGAACTCATGTAAATGACATTTTGGAAGATAAGTATAAATCTTTGTTGGTTGTACAAGGCGCTTACTCTGTTTAAGTCATTTTGACATTCCCACCTTTATGCTGCAGTTCCTTTTGAACCCGAGGGAACCTGGTACAATAACATCAATATCAGGCTTAGTATACATAGAACCTGCACTTATGGTAACTTTACTCTGCGTGTAATGGATCAGTATTTGAAATAAGCTGCGCATAGGCCTGTATCAGGTGGATCTCGTGTCGGGGCTGTAAATTCAATGTTGTATGGGTTCTTATGGCCTGCAGTAAAATACCATGTCTATGTATTTGTCACAATAAGCTGCAGTTTTTTTTAAATCAGGGCCTGCAGCTTCTAAGGTGTGTGTGTCCTGATAGCAGCCTATCAATGTTTGTTTTATTTCTGACACTGAATGAGATGCATTACAATTGTCTACAGCTGGATAGTTAAGCTTATCATAGTTTGAGAAGTTACTTTAGACTCAAGTCAGAACTACCTTTCATTAACATCTGGTCGAAAAAATCCTCATACTATAGCAGTAGTTAAAACTGAACATGACTGTATGTTACATGAAAACTTGACAATGAACATTTTTTTTATTACCATATATTATAATTATAGGATTAAATTGCGTACTTCAGTTCGGATTTGTTGACTGGTATTTCCGGTGTTACGTGATCGTGTGATCAGCTGTTAATGTTTTCTGAGATGGGGGAAAACATTGTGTCATTGGAAAACTTGAGTTTATTGAAAATGGTAGTAAATTTTGGGAGCCATGCTTTACCGCACCCTATAACTGAGTTAGCGCTATATTGAAGGGCGCAATAGCGAGGGAACACTGTACCCTCCTTTTTAATGTCTATACATTCTTAAACTTGTTCTTCCTTAAATCGAAGTGTTAGGGAAAAGTCTAAAGCCCAATTAAGAAACACCAAATCTACAAACAGGGGCATTACAATGGAGAATTAGGAACTAAAGCCATGAGGCATGTTTTCAGTTTCTATACCAAGTTTAATAAACCTTCACAAGGCACAATAGATAGAGTGACAAATTTGTGTCATGTATTAAAGATTTTGAAGCAGTTTGTCAGATCCGTTGATTATGTAGACAATTTTGCATTGTCATTTCTATTGCAATCCATATCTGTCTACACCATCACATTACATAAATGTAACTCTTTTACTTGAGCAAATAGTTGCCAGCACTTCACTAGCTGAGGGTCCTAACCTGGCTGGGGAGTGGGAGGGGGAATCGGATGGGGACAACGTCACAGGCTGCATCCCATCATCGACATGAGTGACTGCGTCCGTGTTCAAGTTGCCATTCCGCGACAAAGAATCACTGACTTCTGAGTACTGGTCAAAGGACTCTCCCAGGCCCTCGTCCTTGCGATGTGCAGACATGACACTCTCTGTGGAGTTTGGTCTGTCGTCGCGAAGATGAACCTTGTCCTCCAGTCCTGTCAATCTCCCATGATTCTCATCCTCATCCAATGGCGACGCCAGATGAGTCTCGATTTTAATCTCATCAGCACTCACAACAAATTCACAGAATTCGCCTGGTGCTGGTTTCATTGACTCCCTGCGTTTCCGCTCTATCTCCTCAGGAATAGTTTCTGCTATTATCCGTGAGGAGGTCACTTCCACTGAAGGAACATGAACTGGCGTCTGGGAAATGGCCATATCCACACTCAACGTATCCCGTTTAAACGAACTCGACTTCCAAGTCTGGTTTGCAGCACTGGCAGATGTTGACAACTCGTGTAAGGGCTCCATTGATAGGGAGCGTTTCAGTCTGTCTAAAGACATCTGACTTCGTTTTCGGGATAATCTGCGATCTGAAAACATAACAACCAATGTTAAACTCTTGCACATGGCAGCTGTCAGACATGTTCAATTTGTAATTTAAACAGTACTCTTTCTCCATTTTACCTTACAGTGATCATTTAATCCTTGATCTCAAATGCAAATATCAATTTACCTCACAATTTGATTAAATTATAGTATTACTCGACCATTTTCTTCTTTTTTTGGATTCGTATCCATATTGACATTATCGGTTACGCATGAGCGTAGGTTAAATAGTCCATTTTATTCATTTTAAAAACACTTTAGTTTCATGTGCAATGTTGGGGCAGATGTTGTGGAGATGAGATCAGGGGAGCAATCCATTATTAGGGGTATTGGAGGGAACATGCGTTAGATAATACTGGTATACAAGTGATATTCATGACTGTCCTCATAAAATATCAAAAGCTCGTTGCTGGTTCAAAGGTTAAATATTAACGACAAATTCAAGGTCCTCTGAGATTTGAACTGGGTTACCATTTACATCATTTACTTATGCAACAATAGCAAATTTTGCAATAAACCTACAAGAGTTTTTCCCCTTTATTAAAAAGAAAACGACAAAGCTTTGTTTCTCTGCTTAAAGTGTTTATAGTCTTATATTGATCTTAAAGGGTTTTTTAGTATTTGACTTTTTTTTCAATATGTAGATTTTGTTTGCTATGTCTTTCCCATTTTTTATTTAACCAAATAAACAACCAATTCAACCATCTTCACCAGAACTTGTAGTTTTCTCAGCCGACTCAAGGAATCATGGGTAAAATATCTACACTGATCTCAAGTAGGCTTACAAGACTTAGCTCCCTTGATCTAGACAAAATAGCAGTTTAAGTATCAGATGTGAAATGTTGTTTATATCTATTCTGTGTATTTGTTTTGTGTTGAGTAACTTATGATGAAAATAAACAATATTGGTAAGGGCAAGTTAGCCAAACAATTAGGGCATGTTGTGTATAATCTAACTGAACGGGAGGACTAATGATTAAGAGGTAAGTTAACTATACTACTCAAAAAAAGTTAAGGCCCACTTGATTCTTTCATATTATTATAGTTAATCTGTCATGGCATGGCATGGCATGGCATGGCATGACAGATTAACTATAGTAACATGAAAGAATCAGGTGGTGCTTAACCTTTTTTGAGTAGTATAGTTTGGATGTAAATGCCTGGATGGAACGATGAACACTGAAGGAAAAATGGAATAAAGAGGCCGATCTAATGGTTATGAATGAACACATGGGGTTAATAAGAGAAAATGTTTTGCGTAAATGTTATAGGATAGAATGCATTCACGAATAGAGAAAACAAGGACAATGAACCGTTACGATATCAACATCATGCCAATGTTAATGTTTGGCCGACATCATTGACATATACTGGATCATTTCATAAATTCGCAACTTAAATTATAAACAAAAGAATCGCGACTTAATATTTCATTTTTTGTTTTACTCAACATTAAATTCTGATTTTGAAAACACAATTTTCATCCTTAAATTTAACATTTTTCAAAAACTTTGTCTTTCGATCCTGTATGACAACAATGAATTCAATGCCAAAAATGTGCAAGAATATATACCCCGATGAAAACTGATGATGAGTTTACACACGAGCATTAACCCAATATGCGCACACGCAATCTGAGAGCGGGCGGCGGGCGGACGAAACACCAGACAGGCAGATTCTAACCTGAGGAGATGCAAAGCAGGCAACTGACTGGCCAACTGATGGACTGATGGACTGACGGACAGGTTGCAGGCAGCACACACTGCAGGCGACATAGAGGCACACTGAGGAGACTGGAGGAGTAGGAGGAGAGGGATAGCCAACCAATGTCCATGTGACCATAGCTGCGAAAGAGTGCTCGGAACAGGCGTGTCTTGTGAGTAACGTGCAGCTCAATCTTGTACCGTGGCAGGCAACTAGTCTTTCTTCACCCTCGGCATTCAGTGCAGCTTTTATTATGATTATGATTATTAATGTTATTATTTAGTTTTTATAATTCTCTGTTCCCTAGGCAAATACAAAAATCAAAAGAATATGAACATTATTTACTTATAATACAGAGAGTATCTTTTAAATAATTTCCATCATAGATCTACAATGAACATTTAGCCGAGGGTGAATTAGTCTAAAAGAGCAACAAAATAAAATATTGCTTCCCGACAAAGAAACAGAAATTATGAATACAAAATTATTAGATTTATGAGTGAGTAAAAATTCTTCAATCTGAGGCATATTTCATTTGCTTACTTAAATGCATTATAAAAACATCCACTACAATATCACACAATGAAATAGTGCTAAATAAAATGCCTCAGTTTGAAATCATGAAAATGTGATGACTAACAGTGACTAAAGTAGTAAAAAGATTGTGACCAATGAGAAAAAACAATACCTACAAACAAAACATCAAACAAAACTGACACAACAAAACCAATACTAAAAATTGAAATTTAATTGGTTCCAAAGTTCCACGGTTATCTCCCTTTATAACACAGCCACCTCAGCAAAGATTGGCAAGAAGAGAAAATTAAAAAAGCCTGTTGCCAGGCAACATATATCTTTTAATAATAAATTCTGAAACTAATAAAATTACAGACAGGCCAGACCAGACAAAAAATAATCAGATCTGTTGAACATATCAATTTTTTGTAAAATGATAATTCCAAAAGTGAATGATTAACACATTCCTCCAGTATAATTCAGCAATTTCCCGTAAACGTAATATAGTCTTCAAACTGAGTTGCCATGTTACCAAGAGCAAAGGAACCAATAAGCTGGCTTGAATCATTAGGCCACACCAATTATTTTCACTTGCTTGATGGATCCGATTGTAAATTTTGTCAAAATTGAGAACAAAATTCAATTCTGAATTTGACCTTCCGGGAGGTAGTTTCATGTAAAAACCCTGTAAAGCAAGTGAAAAAGAGTATGGCCTTACTAAAAAAACAAACATCAATTATTTGCCTACTTGTGGGTAATAACAAATACAGTTCTGTTCCTATCGGAATAGGTGGATGGATAACAACACAGCTGGTTCAGAGAGCCACAAGCAGCCTGACGGACCCAGACAATATCTTTAACATGTTCCACATACCACTATTCAATAGCGTTCCTTATCATTTATGTGAGAAATATTTTAACATGACGGCATAAACAGGAAGATCAGTTTTGGTTTGATTGTGCGGTTGGTTGAAAGTTCAAATTAAGGTCGTACCCTCACTGTTTTGATACTTCCGTGCCAACTATTACATAGCCAATGACATAACACTCTCACAATCAACACTTTATACATAGATACAATATATGTGGTACCAGTACGTTAGATACTATCAACAACAGTCACTATACATACACTTTTTGCATCCAATATGGATTTCATTGGAGGGAAGGTAAAAATGACTTTTGTGGATGATAATTAATTAATTATGATATATGAATGATTTATCTTACATATAAAAACTACACTCATTCTTCAGAAAGTGTTATAAACTAGGCCAAACCACAAAATGTTGTGATTGTTTTATGGAAGGCTAACAAATTTGACTGACAATAATTTGCGTACTTAAAGACATTCAGAGAGTTTAAAGCAAACAGATTGCAGCAGGGAAATTGGTGATTTATTTTTCAATATTTATAATCTGGACAGTTCAGTAAATAATAGCTTCCACTTAAGAGTTGGGGCCAATTATTTCCTTTTCCTAAAACAATACTAGAAGTCTAAGAAATATATATATCCATTTGTCTATAATACTTTTTTTTACACTCTTAGGGAGTAGGGTTTGGTAGAACCAAGTGTCCCTCTTTGTCAAGCCAGCTTCCAAATACATTTCAATGACAATAATATACAAAATTCAAAATTGAATGCATACAAATACAATGGTTGTCAAGTAATAAACAAGTCATACAATAAAACATCACATTCATTCAAAGTCACTTTCTTTGGAAAATTTCATTCTGTTTTCAAACTCTGGAATAAAAGCAATGTTATAATATACAGGGTTATGATATAAATATTCCATGTTTGTTATATACATCACAGGTTGAACTAGGTTAGTCGAACATATCCTAATGACCTACATTATATACTATCAGAATCATATTGCCGGTAATAGAATATTTGACAAAACAAGACAACGTCAACATTCTGGAAAAGTGAATTGGAGGCACGGTTTGAACTATAGAAACAATATTTACATGATTCAACAATAAAATACTACCCACAAACACCTTCACTTTTAACAACAAGATTTTCATCTCCCTCTCAAAAACACAATTGGAAAAAACTCATATGAAATTACAACAGCTGAAGTTCTATCATACAACAAGTCAGTCATGTTTGTAATAAAAGGTTTCAACAATTGCACAGATTCAATAACCAACATCTCCCTATATATGGGCATTGCTACTTGTAAAACAATCTGGATTCTTTTGAAATCAAATATTTCCTGTCTCTTGGTCAAAATCACACCCTAGTTGTATTTATGTGAGGGAGATCACCATCAAACATTTCATGAACAAGGAAAATAGAAAAGTAGACAAAAACCAGACATCATTCGGGCCATGCTGACAATGTGTCTTGTTGCTGACAATGGGTGTCTGTTAGCAAAGGCATGGAAGCAATCTTGTAAGGAAGAACAGAAATTGGAAGAATGAAACAGTACAGAAGCAGATAGAGTTAGAAGGCGATCAACACCTTGAAACAATAATTCGAACCATTTTCAAATACAAATTCACAGACAGTCATGGAATAAACAAAGTCAACAAAAACAAACACATAGAAAGGAAATCGTAACTAAATAGCTCATGTGACCATGTATTTGAAAGAGCAATCTTTTTTCTTTCAGAATTAATGCCACATGATTTCATTTATTGAAATCTAAAATTTTCATAAAATAATCGTCACGCGCTAGGAATAATTAATTATGATCTTCACTCTTCCTGGCTTCAACACTAAGACTGCCAACCAGAGACTTCCAGTATCTCATCTTCTTACTTGTCGGCTTGGGTTGGTTGGGATTTGGCGTTTTCATCCCATTACTGCGCAGAATCTCGAGCAGCTCGAACCGAAAGGAGGATATGTCTTGTTTGAGCTCATTGACATCATCCTCTGTGACTCCTTCACCTCTTTGTGGTCCGCGCTGCTTTTGCATGATGTACCGCTTGATGAGGTCGCGCATCACAGCCTGATGAGGACATCAAATATGCAAGATGTTTACACGATGTTTGGGATTGTAGCAAAGTAGAAATGATATGGAACTTTTTGAGCAAGATACCTGCACTCAAATTAAAGTAAATATCACCAAACGACATGTTTTGTTTGGATATCAATTTAGAAATAATGACCCATAAACTGTGATAATTAATCTTTTCAAAAATAGGGGGCACAGGTGGCCCAGTTGTCTAAGGCGCCGAAATTCGCTGTGCAGAGTTGCGTCCCGTGGACACGCCACAAACCTATGATTGTGGGTTCGAATCCCGGTTTGCCCCGATTATGTTTCTAGGTTTGTCAGCACCATACCCGTGATCGTGGGTTTCACCGAAGTGGTAAACGTCTGAGACCTGCAAAACTTCGGGCTTTCCTCCCACATAAAGCTGACACGCCGTGATATAACTGGAATACTGTTGAAACACAACTTTTCAAAAATCGTTAACGTAAAGATACAAGGCATCTTCCCTCTTTCCAGATCTTCTAGCAGGATCTAAAGCAGTATTATCATCTCCGGATGTTCAGCACTTACAAGTGGGAATTTTAGACAGATTCTAAAAATTTTGGATCATCATGTCATGCCCACTTTTTGTAACATGGAAGTCATTCTTTTATGTTTGTAAAAATGATGTGAAATGCAAAAAACAAAAACTTATGAAAAAATTATGTTTACACAACTCTACACACTATCTGTTCTCGAGTGAGTATGGTTTTACACCGCTTTTAGAAATATTCCAGCAATATCACGGAGGTGGACTTCACACATTGTACCCATGTCGGGAATTGAACACGGGTCTTCGGCGTGACGAGCGAACGCTTAAACCACGAGGCTACCTGACCGCCCCTATCTGTTCTCAAAGAGTTCACAATTATTGACACCAGTCAACTCTAGATGGAAGTTGTTTTGAGACATCAGCAATGTCAACATAGAACTGTGTAAGGTATTTCAGTTATATCTTGTCAGCTTTAATCAAAGTCAGACTGGGCTCTGGGGAATTGGCAATCCTAGCAAATTTGATTAGGTCTTTCAAGGCCAACTTTGGGAGTATGAAATATCAAATTTTATGATATATATCAATCTAACAGTCGATGATTATCCTCTTCACATATAGACGCTTGACATTTATTACACCGTATAGACCTAGACCGAAAATAGACACAAGACCACGAAACAGAGTACCCCCTTAACATGTTAAATATGAAATAATCAGTGAGTATGGTTTTACGCTGCTTTTAGCAATATTTCAGCAATATCACGGCGGGGGACAGCAGAAATGGGCTTCACACATTGTACCCATGTCAGGAATCGAACCCGGGTCTTCGGCGTGACGAGCGAACGCTTTAACCACTAGGCTACCCGACTGCCCCCCAGAGAATAATCAATCTTGATTATCCACCAATACCATTCCATTGGCCCTAAAAGGCAAAATAGCAGTGACAATTATATGAATGGATCACTAAAAATCAGTGATGACCCCAGTGTTATGCAGGTCAGGGAATGTTTCCTGAGAGAGGAAAATGCAATGTGATTCAGGTCATAGGTGAGTGAGTGAGTGAGTATGGTTTTACGCCGCTTTTAGCAATATTCAAGCAATATCACGGCGGGGGACACCATAAAAGGGCTTCACACACTGTACCCATGTCGGGAATCGAACCCGGGTCTTCAGCATGACGAGCGAATGCTTTAACCACTAGGCTACCCGACCGCCCCTCAGGTCATAGGTTTTTACCACTGTGGTGAAACTCTCAAGCAAGTACATGTATCAGATACTGGGAACATAATCATCCTATTGTAGCATGGATTAGTGTTTGCTTGTTTGTTTAATGCCGAACTTGGCAATATTCCAGCTATATGACAGCGGTCTGTAAATAATCGTTTCTGGACCAGACAATCCAGTGATTGACATCATGAGCATCGATCCATGCAATTGGGATACGATGACATGCATCGACCATCCGATCCCGTTAGTCGCCTCTTACGACGAGCAGTGTTGCCTTTTACGGCTAGCATGGGTTGGTGAAAACCTATTCTACCCCGGATCTTCACAGCGAGGTGTGGTACTGCCTTAACCCCAGGACACTGCTTTCAACTTAAACTGGAACACTCAATAGCCATGCAAATTCCATGTTTGTTCTGGATGGTTAATGCCGCACTCAGCAATATTCCAGCTCATATGATGGCAGTCTGTAAATAATCAAGTCTGGACCAGACAATCCAGTGATTGACATCATGAGCAACACACAACTTGGGACATGATGACACGCATAAGACACTTGTGTACCAGTGTAGACTACAGTGTCATGTTACTGAGGTTACCTGATATTTTATTTCTCTTTCATTGATTTTCTTCACAATTTTCTGAAAACAGAGAAAACATAAAACGTAGTTATGAAATGATACTAATTGAAGGATGACTACTTTGTTTCATCATCATTAAAATAAACACATGGTTTCAAAAAAGCAGTGTGACTGTTGTATTTGTTATGTTTGTTTCTTTGTTGTTTAATGCTGTACTCAGCAATGTTCCAGCTATATGATGGCAATGTAAATATTCGAGTCTGGTTTAGACAATCCAGTGATTGACATGAGCATCGATCCACACAATTCGTATACGATGACATGCATCGACCAAATCAGTAAGTCCGACCACCCGATCCCGTCAGTTGCCTCTTAGTACAAGCATTGGTTGCTGAAGACTAATTATAACCCAGATCTGCTGGGGTTGACTGTTGTCGACCACATCAGAGTAAACAGCTACATGTTTACTGAGTTTCCTCATTTACTGTTGCTGTATCTTCATTATCATCAAATAATTAAATCAACATTAAACAACATTTCGTCTCCCCATTAGCCTAAAATGTTTTAGATCCTGCTGATAAGACATTAAGTTCATAAACTGTATGATGTCGGACGTCAAGTCATTTTGACAAACATTGCATTGTGATCTCCAACATCCTTATAAATTTCGATGATGAACGGTGGTGTGTTTGTTAAACATTGTGTCTTTCATGCTCGGTCTGTGAATAATCGAGCCTGGACCAGACAATCCAGTGATTGATATCATGAGCATCGATCTACGCAATTGGGATCGATGACATGCATCAACCAAGTCAGTGAGCATGACCACACGATCCCGTTAGTCGCCTCTTACGACAAGCATAGTCGCCTTTTACGGCAAGCATGGGTCTAACCCGGGTCTTCACGGGTGTCTATCATGGACATTGTGTTATCTCAACATTGTGTTTATCATGAGCATCATGTTTCAACATTGGGTGTATCATGAACATTTTGTCTATCATCAAGACTGTCCCAACTTTGTTAGTCATGAACATTACCCGGTATGTGTCAACATTGTCAGTCATGAACACTATGTGTCAACATTGTCAGTCATGAACACTATGTGTCAATATTGTCAGTCATGAACACTATGTGTCAACATTGTCAGTCATGAACACTGTGTCAACATTGTCAGTCATGAACACTTTGTGTCAACATTGTCAGTCATGAACACTGTGTGTCAACATTGTCAGTCATGAACACTGTGTCAACATTGTCAGTCATGAACACTATGTGTCAACATTGTCAGTCATGAACACTGTGTCAACATTGTCAGTCATGAACACTGTGTCAACATTGTCAGTCATGAACACTGTGTCAACATTGTCAGTCATGAACACTTTGTGTCAACATTGTCAGTCATGAACACTGTGTGTCAACATTGTCAGTCATGAACACTGTGTCAACATTGTCAGTCATGAACACTATGTGTCAACATTGTCAGTCATGAACACTGTGTCAACATTGTCAGTCATGAACACTGTGTCAACATTGTCAGTCATGAACACTTTGTGTCAACATTGTCAGTCATGAACACTGTGTGTCAACATTGTCAGTCATGAACACTGTCAACATTGTCAGTCATGAACACTATGTGTCAACATTGTCAGTCATGAACACTATGTGTCAACACTGTAAGTCATGAACACTATGTGTCAACATTGTCAGTCATGAACACTATGTGTCAACATTGTCAGTCATGAACACTATGTGTCAACACTGTAAGTCATGAACACTATGTGTCAACATTGTCGGTCATGAACACTATGTGTCACCATTTTGTCTATCATGACCATTGTGTCTCAACACTGTCTAACGTCAACAATGTTTCAATACCAATGATGATCAGCTAGTGTGTTCTCAACAGTCTCTGTCCTGATCCCACTCACCTTGATACTCTGCCACCGGTTTCTCTTCTGCTTCTTGGAGCATGCACACAGTTTATTCTTGAACCAGACGAGAATGTAGTAGAAGGTCTTGGGACTGGGAATGATATTGAAGGGAGCCGGCAGCGTGCCGCTGTCCTCGAAGTAGCTGATCCACAACTTGGAGCGGGCAAACTTCCATTCCTCATCCGCCTGGCTCTGCAATAGGTACACACCGTCTTGTTAATGTTGGATGTCTATAATTTTCAATTTTATTTCTATTTCAGAAACCTCAACTGTAACAACCTATGCAGTTTTGCTATCTTTTGAAGGTGATAATCCTTTATACACTGAACAAAAAAGTTAGGGATCATGTCATAGTTTTTTATGAAATATGAACTAAAAAAAAAAAAACCCTCAAAATATTCATGATCCCTACCTTTTTTCGTTTTGTATATACATGTATAAGTTAATGTAGAACTATGAGTTTCGAGGCATACCATCAGTACTTTGTGTAGGGTGCTTCAACGACCTATCAGGAATGTAAGGTTCTCCTTGGCCAACATTATTGGAATACTTTGTTGAAGCACTTGTAAAATATCAGTCTTAACATTGTAAAGTCTTCAAATTATCTTATGGAATGTTCTATAGAACCTGTTCTTGAATGGGAAGGTTGTTGATATTTTTCTAATGGTAAAATATATATAACTTATATTTATTCATGGAGTTTTGACACACATGCTTCTGCTAACATCTTCTAAAACCTGATATTTAAATATTGTGCATTTCATCTATATAAAGTGGATATACATGTATATGAAATGGCTGCTTCAGTTATTTATTCCAATTGATTGCCTGATATTATGTAAAGATATTGGTGTAACATCCCCAAAGAGTTGAAGAACAAATATCTTCTATATCCCGAGAACTCCATCTGGTTTCAGAATTTATTTTCACGCAAAGTTCAATGGTAAATCATTTTCATTCCTGTATATTGTGAAGAGAACAGGTGCTATTAGTATACTTCTCACAGAAATATTGCAACAAAGTAGAAGGAGAGTTAATGTGAGAAAATATTATGTGAGGAATTATTACAATATAACATATATTACAGCTGATGCAGGAATCAGACATGATTTGCATGTAAATTATGAAAACCATTCTTGATGTAAGATGTGTATATAATAAAACGTGTATAGTAGAATAAACACTTCTAAGTCTTAAAGTAAATACAAAGTACAAAGAAAAATCAAGAAAAGCTATAAGAAGTTATTAAATGAAAATGTCAATAAGATCACAGTCATAGCAGCTACAAGTTTAAACATGAAGGATGACACAAATATTATGAATTAAAGGAGTATCATTTAACAAAAGAACACAATTTATAAAAATTTAAGACAATGACATTTACAGTGAGAGATGTGCTTACACAATGGATGTGTTCGATGGGGAGAGTATATTGTGGCAGGCTATAGGTGCTCTTACAAATACTTCATAAGACACAAGCTGAATTACAAGCTTATAATTAGCATATTCAGATGCTGTGTGTTTTAAAGAGAAAAACATCATAGTCAATGCATCTGCGAATTGAAAATGGAGAAAGTATAATGAGCTTTATTAGCTACCTACGGTATTTGAATTCAACATGAAACATTTATGTTGAAAGCATTTTTTACTCGCAAACAGATCTAATTACAAAATAGGAGACTGTCTATGACAGAGAGAGTAGGTTGCCCATCCACCTAAAGTGCACATGGTACCACCCATACAAGCGTTTCACAGTTCATAAGATATGATGGATATGTGTTGCAACCCACTGAGTTACACAGCTGTACCAATTAACAACTATGAATCATGACTTGATAGAAACAGAAATTTGTTTATAATTTGATTAAACAGAAATTAGCATGCAACATTGAATATTCAATTTATGCGTATCACAATAAATTATGAATTGTATCACATTTTTGTGTACAATCATTACACCGATTCTCAAATTAAACACTGATTGATATTTTCCATGTTCAAGGGCCATGACACCACAATATTGATTCCAAATTTTACTCTTGTGAAATGTGAAACAGTGATTGACAATCTATCTGGAGAAGGGAGAGCTACTATTGAAGTTCAAGGTCAAGGTCACTCTCTCTGGCAGATATATATATTTATAGTGATGACTTTGTGTTCCTTGTCCACCGAAAGTGCATGATATACTGACTACATGCATGCATACATGTGAAGTGTAGTACCCAATACCAGTGCTGCTTACAACTTTGTTTCCAATCATCTCTTAAGATGACCTTTATATTTCAACATGAACACACTGTAGATTCTATGATGCAGTATACAGAGAGAATCTCATCCGACTGTCTTTACATATCAAATATGTCACCATGAGTCAATAAAAGCTGAAAATCCTGAGGCTTCCTTGGAAGTTTTAATTTTTATTATCTCGTGTTGATATATTTGATGTCAAAAGACACAAGGGTGATATCCTATTTATCATCCAAAATCATTCTTCCAAGTGTTTCAGTTCATAAACATTAAGAACCAACATCTTTATGGTCTTCTGTACATGGGACAGTTAACCAGCTTCAGTGGCAGACAGATTTGTGATGTAATTTGGTTGTGAAGTCATGGTAACCAAAAGATATCACAACAGTCTGCAAAGCACTGGGATGCAATTTTATTGTAGCCATATCTCCTAGGAGATATTGCTTGATGTTACGAAAGCGGTATCTCCTGTGGAAGCAGGTTTTGGATGATAAATATTTGTGATATATCTCCATCTTTCCAGCCAAACTTATTCCACCCCATCTTTTTGAAATCTAAGAAAAATATTAAAAAGTTTATTCTATTATTTTTACTTCAAATATTTTATGTATTTCTTTTTAGAATTCGAAAAAATATTATATTTTCATTTCTGTGAAGTTTAAATAGGAGGTAACATTTTCATTTAAAATTTGTCATTTATGTTTTGACCACAAAATATACACAAAAGGAACGCGACAAAATTAAATCTGGATTGAAAGACAAGTGCACATGTGGGATACGTGTGAATATGGAGGATGTGACCTATCAGAGTTGACCTGCCAGTGACCTTGACCTCTCTCAGTTACTCACATATATAATCTGGTAAGAGTTGCTCATCATAGCAATGAGCATGTTGAGAAGGACTACCAGGGCAATCCAACTATACACCCCAAACATCAGTTTCCCAACCAGCTCAGTATACTCATGATTGAACTTCGGCCGAAGTTCGGCATGATCAAGATCCACCAAACCAAATACGGACCAGTACAATGTCTGCAGTATCTCAAATAAACTGGAAAAAAAGACAAGGACATTAAATAAGAATTGGTTCAAGTTCTGGGGCACCTGAAGAAGATGCTGGTGCTCATACAACAGGATAAGCAGAACACAAAGATGACAGAACTTTGAGTTTTGGGTAGGCAAAATTACCAATGTCAATCTTGTTACTGGAGCTATAGTGTAGTAAACAGGTGGGTGGATGGATGGATGGATGGATGGATGGATGGACAGAAAAGGCCATACATGACTTATTTGTAACTATTTCAAATAAGTTCCTTATTTTCAATTTATTTCCTTATGATTTTTCATTTATTTTTGCTTGGTATTTATATTTTTTTTAATTAACTTACTTATAATTTGTCTATCATGTCATCCTGATATTGAAAAGGGCAATACTGAGTGGAGGGTTTTACACTGCATTTAGCAATATCTGCAAAATTGAGATGAATGGGGAATCAAACCAAGACGTTGCAAAAGGTGAATGGCGTAACTACCAGGCTACCCAACCAACCTGAGTCCTTTGACATATTATTTCCTTATATGTGTTTCATATCAGCCTCAGAAATTTCTTTTTTGTGAAGAATAGTTCCTACAATAGTGCCGAACTTAGTTCACTTGGCTTCAGAATTTGTGGCGAGTCAAGGCTGACTTATTTGTTGTGAAATCAAAGTGTAAAGAATAAATACAGCCCACAAATGATACAACAGTCAAACACTACAATCATTGAAATTGTAATTGTCCTCATCACAATTTCTTTTCGGACTAGCGTGAATTTGGAATGCTGCATATTTGATATTGACCATAAGTATATACTGTATATGTCCGCAGATAAGCCGAATTTGAGGACCAGAAAAAAGATTCTGTAGAAAGGGGTCGGCTTATCCACAGGAGTCATTATCTTCTCTTGAGATCATTATATCGGACAATTTGGTTTTTTTGTTTTGTTTTCAAAAGGATTTTGAAGATCTAGCAGAACATACAAAGTGCCTCTAGACAACACCATGAGGGTATAAGAAGGATCATCAGCTAATTTCCTTGTTAGACATGGCTAGACTGGCTGAACAGATCTGGAAGCAGACTAATAATATCCATGACATATGTCAGGAACCTGTAGACTTGGCCTCATCATGACTCATTGCACAAACTGGCTCCAGGCAATCTACATTAGGACAGACAGTTTTAGTGGGCTTATGGAAACACCAACTCTAACAGCATTTGTACATATTAGGACAGACATTTTTCATCAACCCTAACATTGGGAAATTCAGGACAATGTACTGATTTTTTACCAAAAAAATTATATATTATATTCAAACTTTCATGTAATACATGTTCAGTTAAGACGGATCATTTTACAGCTATTCAGAGCAATACCAAGGTTCTGCTATACTTAATCATAAGATCTGCTATATTGAGGATCTCTACACTAAGGATTCAGGTCTGCAATACTGAGGTTCTGTTATACAGAAGTTCTGCAATACAAAGGATCCAAATCTGCAACATTGAAGTTCTGCAAACAAACGTATCCTAAAACCATCTTCCACAATACCAGGGTTCTGCAATACCAAGGTTCTGCTATCCAGAGGTTCTGCTCATCCTTGAGGACAAGTCCCAGCTGCATCTGCAGGTGCCCCATCCCACAGCAGCAGCAGCCACAGGTACTCACATAGATCATCTGATACGAGTTGCTCATCATAGCAATCAGCATATTGAGCAGCACAATGAAGGCAATCCAGCTATAGGTCCCAAATGTCAGTTTGCCCACAAATTCTGTAAACTGATGGTTAAACTTGGGCTGGAGCTCGGCATGCTCCAGGTCCACTAGGCCATACACCGACCAGTACAAAGTCTGTAGTATGTCAAATAAACTGCAAATACCCCAAGGCAAAAGTTACATCAGCAATACAACACAGCAAATATAGGCCTGAAATGTAGGGTGTTCACAAAGCATCATACATTTTGACTATTAGGCAAGAGTGAGTGAGTGAGTTGGGTTTAACACCGCTTTTAACAGTATTCCAGTTATATCGCCGCGTGTCAGCTTAATGTGGGAGGAAAGCCCGAAGTGATGCAGGTCTCAGACGTTTATCACATCGGTGAAACCCACGAGCACGGGTATGGTGCTGACAAACCTAGAAACATAATCGGGGCGAAGCGGGATTCGAACCCACAATCATAGGTTTCTGGCGTGTCCACGGGACGCAACTCTGTGCCCCTGTGCCCCTGTGCCCCTGTGCCCCTGTGCCCCCGTGCCCCCGTATTAGGCAAGAACAATATTTTGTTTTCCTTTACATATGCTACTCCAAAACATTAATGCCCACCCAATTTTTACATATTACAAAACATAATCTGTCATGCCAGATTAATGATACAAACATGAAAGAATTGGGTGGGCCTTAACTTCTTTACGCATGCGCAGTATATTTTTATGGGAATGTGCCAGGGAGCTGATATACAAATTAAAACAACAGATGCACCTGATCAAAATAATAATGATACAGCTAAAATACATTTTTTGTTTACTTTTTCAAGCTTAGAGTGGGTTCATTCAGTAAACAAGTACTTTGGTCTGGTTTTGTTGCTATGTTTCATTTTTATCAGTTAAATATTCTCAGCCTAGAGTGTCCCAATATCAAATATACCAAACTTAGTCAAAGAAAGTAGAAAAGTTTAGCTTGAGATGTTGAAGTGATCCCTGCTTGCTGTGAAATTACAAATGGAATCATTACAACACTGTTACATAGAGAGCTGATAACGATATTAATCATGAAACTAACAATTCTGAGAAAAAAAGAAGCAAAATGCGATCTTTTATAATTTACCAGAAAAGCGATGTGTTTTTTCTTGTGTTATGAATATGCTGATGTGATAAAGCTACCAAGAATGTATTTCAGCCCAAACCAAACCAATCAGCTCCTTGTTTCTTGGTCACTATGCCAAGGTAAATGGCAAAAGCAAAATTTGAAATTATTTTTGGTCAATGTTCAACTTACCGGGTAGGTAAATTTCTTTTTAAAAAACCCACCAAAAATTAAGCGATTCTAAAAATAAAAAGATATTTTGTTTCCGTATTTGTCAAATTTGGCAAACTTATGACAATCTCATCCACATTGAAAGATATTTGGTCTGTTCACAAAATTAATCACCTTCTAAGAATAGTTCAGATTTAAAAATGGCTGAAGATACTCACTTTGCAAAACTGCGGAATTTTCTATCACAGGATGAGCTCGTACTATCTGCAGCACACTCATCCGCATGAACAGTTGCATAGTACCAGTAGAGATGGTTCAGTCCACACGCAAAGGAAAACAACACAAGAAAATATACACATCCAAACTTCATAATGTCCATGATCATTCGCCCTAGGGATATCTGTAAGGGCCCCAAATGAGGATTGACTGTGAATATATATATAAGTTTTAAGGAACTGAAGATATTAGCTGCAGCAAAAAGAGCTTCGGAGATGAGATTGGGATCGTAGGCGTCCCAAGCTTTACGTTGTTTTTGCGCTGCCGGATCATTATTCCTCCTTTCCTCCTGAACCTGTGAAAGAAATGAGTGAATGAATGAATCAATGAGGAGAAATAAGGTTTAAAATAAGTGAAGATCCGATGTAGAATAGGTCTTCAGCAACCCATGCTTGCCGTAAAAGGCGACTATGCTTGTCGTAAGAGGCGACTAACAGGAACGGGTGGTCAGGCTCGCTGACTTGGTTGATGCATGACATCTTATTCCAATTGCATGGTTTGATGCTCATGATGTCAATCACTGGATTGTCTGGTCCATACTCAATTATTTACAGACTGTCGTCATATTGCTGGAATATTGCTGAAAGTGGCCTTAAACAACAGAGAAAAGAAATTGGGCTTAACATCGCGTTAAGGATTATTGCACCTTATACTACAAGCATAGCCACCTTTTATAGCAAGCATGGGTTGCTAAAGACCTATTCTACCCCGGATCTTCACGGGGTCACACTGGACTACAGAGGCGGTATTAATGAATGAACTCCTTGTAGCTGGTAATACTATCATATGATAGGAAAATATAATTATTCCAGATCAGCCAAACAAATGGTCATTAGGTGAGCAACTTTCATAATTTGATAGTCCCATGAAGAATCAGGATTAGAATTGGTCTTCAGCAACCAATATTTGTTGTTAGAGGTGACTAAAGGGATTGGGTGGTCAGGCTCGCTGCCTTGGTTAAATAAGTTCCCAGTTCCTAAGGGAACACTTAGAAAACCCTAGAAATACGTAGGTATTCAAACAACAATATCTTGTCATAATGGTTCTCATCCGAAACCACACACAATTATGACAAACACATGGACGCTGATGGACATGTGAACACGCAAATGCACAGTAGGATTCACAAAATAAGAAATTAAAATGGTAAATATAACAATCCCAATGAAACTGTAAAGGGCAAACTTTACAACTGCTTATTATTTAGCTTTGGTGCAGTCGAATAAAGGATCAAACCCATTTTTTCTAGTTGGCATTCTTTAATTCCAAAATTATCAAAACATATTTATGAGAACCCTGTGACACACTTTAAAAAAACTGTAATTCTATCCCTGATTTCTATCCCAGTACAGGATTCTCTCAATTCAACAGAACCATATTAAATGGAAGGAAAATCAAATGAAAATAAAGTTTGAAACCATCATTCACTAATTATCTTTAATCCCTGTCTCTGCTGACAATATGAAAATACAGGTTGCCTAGCCTCAACTAACACATTCAAAGTCACGCTGACTGAAACCATACCAGCAAAATTATTTGAAATGGTGGTTCAGGTTGAAAAGTGTTTCTCTGTTATTTGAAAACAATTATTTTAGCTTGACAGATATAAAACCGCCCAAACTAACAAATGACAATTTTACGTGTCAAACAGTTTTTGTCCTGAAAGTCAAACCTGCAGGGGACAAATCTACCCAATGCCATTATGATGGTCACGTGACGAGATATTGATTATTTGAATGTGCGAGCGATCAGTCAGCTTTTACAGCAATTCTTGTCGCTGATGATTTATATTCCTCACGAATATCTCCCATATCGCACAGGAAGTCAGCCTCATCAAAATCTTTTCATGAGGACAAGCGATCACATGACATGCTAATGGTACAAAGCCTTTGATTTGGCGGAAAAAATAACAGCTTAACACATGCAAAAGAAATATATCATATTTTGAGCAACGTAATAGATTTGGGGGCCATCATCAAGGATGGTTTCAGAGTTTTATGTATTCTCAAGAAACACATGTTCATGAGACCACAATAAATTCATCATTAGATTTTCATCCAAATATTTTCAGATTTTTTCCATTTTATTTTTTTAAACAAATTGATCACTGCTTCCCTGTATATTACTGTTAACAGGAAGCATAAATGTTTGGAAAACTATGTACCAGTATACAAGAATATTTCACAGTGATTTTCTTTGTCTGTAGGTACTGTAATGTGATGTGGGAGTGTTTGCCAGTCTGTCTCCCAGACCCTAGAAAATGAATTCAAAAAGGAATGATTTGGTAAGTCTAGATTAAGCCTCTGAAATTAAGCATTGTTCTGGGCCCCATTAGATTTTTATTTTTTATTTTGTAGATATATATTTTAGAATAATATAACTTTATTTCCGGGACTGAATCTTAGTCCAGATGTTTGGTTGTGAGGTGAGCAAGGATGAAAATCTGACAATTTTTTTTATCATGGCCTTGTATAATGATTCATCACTTTGCTGATATAGTTGTAAAAAGTTATTAAGTTTAATGAGGCTTATTTTCATTGTTTTTAAATGTGTATATATATATTGTATTACTGTGACTGACATGTGCAAAGTCCATGTCAGTTGAAGCAGTCATAAAATATATACTTAGGCCCTTACCAAAAATTTGACGTGTTGAACATTTTCATTTTCAGTTGGCATTAAACAACATGGACATGTACTTTTTTTTGGTTCTTTTAGGTTGTTTTTGTCAGCTACCTCGTGAGTTATTCAGCGACAACCTCAGATTGTTTGTTGGAACTGGAACTGTCTAAAAATTCCAAACTTTTACCCCTCTTAATTCTAGATCAGAATAGATCTCCAGTATTCCATGCTTGTGATAAATTGAAATTAAATTTAGCAAATCTTTTAAGGGCTGAATATATAATTAGCAGTATTTGCTAATTTCCATATCTTCCTTATTATATCTTCCCAACATCACTTGCTAATTTCCATATCTTCCCAACATCACTTGCTAATTTCCATATCTTCCATATTATATCTTCCCAAAATCACTTGCTAATTTCCATATCTGCCATACTATATCTTCCCAACATCACTTGCTAATTTCTATATCTTCCCAACATCACTTGCTAATTTCCATATCTTCCTTATTATATCTTCCCAACATCACTTGCTAATTTCCATATCTTCCCAACATCACTTGCTAATTTCCATATCTTCCATATTATATCTTCCCAACATCACTTGCTTATTTCAATATCTTCCCAACATTACTTGCTCATTTCCATATCTTCCCAACATCACTTGCTAATTTCCATATCTTCCATATTATATCTTCCCAACATCACTTGCTAATTACCATATCTTCCTTATTATATCTTCCCAACATCACTTGCTAATTTCCATATCTCCCAAACATCACTTGCTAATTTCCATATCTTCCATATTATATCTTCCTAACATCACTTGCTAATTTCCATATCTTCCCAACATCACTTGCTAATTTCCATATCTTCCATATTATATCTTCCCAACATCACTTGCTAATTTCCATATCTTCCCAACATCACTTGCTAATTTCCATATCTTCCATATTATATCTTCCCAACATCACTTGCTTATTTCCATATCTGCCATATTATATCTTCCCAACATCACTTGCTAATTTCCATATCTTCCCAACATTACTTGCTCATTTCCATATCTTCCCAACATCACTTGCTAATTTCCATATCTTCCATATTATATCTTCCCAACATCACTTGCTTATTTCCATATCTGCCATATTATATCTTCCCAACATCACTTGCTAATTTCCATATCTTCCAAACATTACTTGCTCATTTCCATATCTTCCCAACATCACTTGCTAATTTCCATATCTTCCATATTATATCTTCCCAACATGACTTGCTAATTTCCATATCTTCCTTATTATATCTTCCCAACATCACTTGCTAATTTCCATATCTTCCCAACATCACTTGCTCATTTCCATATCTTCCATATTATATCTTCCTAACATCACTTGCTAATTTCCATATCTTCCCAACATCACTTGCTCATTTCCATATCATCCCAACATCACTTTCTTATTTCCATATCTTCCATATCATATCTTCCCAACATCACAGAATCAAGAGGCTGTAAGATAATCTCTACTCATCACTTTCATGCATGGCGCTAACCAATACTTACTGTTCAAGAATTTGTCATTTTTTTAAAGGTCTCAAACACTACTGCAGCCAAGTTTATCCTTGCCTCAATTCCCTAGAGGAGGAGGGACACCCACTTGTGAACATCTGGTGTTATCCTCGCTGTCTGAGTGGACTGATAGTACAGTACATTATCTTGCTTTCCTTTTAATGGACTCATTTTACTTTTTGTTATCAACCTGAGAAGATCAGGGTTAGAATAGGTCTTCAGCAACCCATGCTTGCTGTAAGAGGCGACTAACGGGATTGCCGGCTTGCTGACTTGGTTGATGCATTTCATCGCATCCCAATTGCGTAGATTGATGATCAAGATGTCAATTACTGGATTGTCTGGTTCAGACTTGATCATTTACAGACTGCTAGCTGAAAGCTGGAATATTGCTGAATGCGGCCTTAAACAAACAAACAAACAAACAAACAAACAAACCTCTGTCTGTGACTGACTGACTGACTGACACACACTTACCTGTAAGTATGCTAGGAGTCTGAGTGTAAATGTTGCTATGTACAAAGAGTTGGTGACAAAGTCCAGAATGTTCCACATATCATGAATATATTCCTTGGCGCCATCGTCCCATAGTTGTTTGATCTCAGCCCACATCAAACCTGTAGCAGTAATATCACAATAATCAAACATGGATAAGGTAATGGTCAAACAATGGAATAACAATAAACAGAACCATGGTAAAAAACATAGGATAATGTCATAGTCAAACGTGAAATAAAATAACACAATAGTCAAACATGGATAAGGTAACAGTCAAACAATGGAAAAACAAAAAATAGAACCATGGTCAAACGATGGAATAATGTCATAGTCAAACATGGAATAACAAAAAATAACATAATATATATTCTCTTAAAATGTGAGCGAGTTGGATTTCTAACCCTTGCAGGGGTTGCAGCATTCGAGACAAATCGACCATGCACTCAATATGTTATTGTTCCCCCCAAAAATCACCTACCAGCAACATAGGCTAAGATCATCCACTCAATGGTCGTCGCAGGTGCCCCACGTAGTTCCCGCTTCACTTTGTCGTCATGGTTACCACTGTCATTTTCAGAGAGTATCTCTACCCGTTGAGACACAAGGATCAACAGAACTGAAAAACAAATGAGTGAGTAAGTGAATGAGTGAAGCACAATAGAACTGAAAAACAATTGAGCACAGGTGAGTGAATGCCGTTTCATGCTTTACATGTTCAGTAATATCACTGACTCTGAAATTATATAAAAAATATGAAATTAAACTTGACAAACCAGTGGTGACTTTAGTAGTGTGAGTACTTTCCTACACAACTGGAGTGCATTGCTCAGACTAGGTTCTGATGATTTCCATTCAAATTTCACTCTCAGACATTGTGACCACCCAATCCCTATTCAGTCACATGAGTAAGTGAGGGAAGGAGGATTTAGACCACATATTGCAATAATCCAAGCAATATTATGGCATGGACATCATAGTCTTGACACATTATACTCATGTATGAAATCAAACCTGGGCCTTTGGATATTTCATTTTTTAACATGACAAATTGACAAAGTGCCATAAGTGGATGAAATTTTGCCATCAAGTAAAATCCTTTATCCTAGGGCTGGGACGGGTAACTCGGGTACCCGGGTCGGGTTGGTACTGAGTAGGACCCGGGTGCCCACAGGACTACCCGGACCTGTGGTTAGTCATGTAATATATTGTTTAATGACAAATGACTATGCACCCATTCCTTCTGATTATGGTTGAATAAAGATATAACTTAATTTCAACTTCGGTGTATGAATGACCAGATTGTTGAATACGTGTACCTAAATATGTTTTTGGCGGGGCTATGCTAAAAATGTTCCCAATCAGACATCTCCTGAGACCTACAGTGGGTACCCGGGTAGGGTCGGGTAATTGGGGGGTGGGTACCCGGGTAGTAAATGTGGACTCGTCCCAGCCCTACTTTATCCCCTTGTTAAATGTTAGTGAGTGAGTGAATGATGTTTTATGTCAGCAATATTTTAGTCATATCACTGTGGCCAGTAAATATTCAATTCAAAACCAGCTGTTGATAGCATAAGCAATGATTTTACTAGTCACGGGCTTGTGGGCAAGTGTTTTCTTCTGAGCAAACCCGAAAAGATTCTGTCAGTTTGATTTGTTTAAGAATTACTTCACTAGTAAGTCAATAAGGAGAAAAACCTACAGTGTCTTAAAATTTGAGTTAGTGTCAATGAAGATTAGATACCTCTTATTTAAATTTGGAATTGAGCGCTTTAAACATCTGGTAATGATCAAATATTGAATGTATACAGTTCTGATGGTTATCAGCAGCTATTTGTAGGCTATCGATAGAGCAATGTAATCATACTCACATTTTTGGTGTGTGAAAAGGCTTATTAATTTAGAGGTATCAAATGGAATTTGACCAATCAGAATAAAGTATTCTTCAATGTCATGGTGGAATATTAAATACATTTCATCCAACTGGAGTGATATCCAAATAAAACAATCTAAAATCACTAACAAATATAAAGGTTTTCAATTAAGTCTAGTCATAAAATTTCTACCCACTCTGCCACTGTCAGTATTTCTAATGATCCGTGAAACATTGACGGTATTGATAACCATTATGTTCAACAATATTTCCACAATACAAGCCAGAGGGAACAAGCATGTATCATATTATCAAGTACTTTATATGAAAATCAACCACAGAAAGTACTATAGGCTTAGAAAGATCCATTAATCATGCTATACGGAATCAGAAATGTAAACAGTTCCGGAAATAATATGAAAGGACTACGGAATGAGCCAATCAATGTGTTACAGTGCTAGTTGTGGCACTTGTGTTAACATGGTGCATTGATTGAAACCATTTCATCAGCAGTGGTGACACAAGTTCACATGATGCCTTGGGTCAGGTAATCTTGCTTATACAATGTCCCTAAATTGATTTTTCTGCTGATGTGGCTATTGTAGTGTGAAAACAATCTATATTGGTGGACAACATGCTGTTAGTCTGAGACCAATAGTTCCATGTCATCCTGTAACATGGCACACTCATGAAACATACTAATTAGATGGAAATGGGAAAGTAAATATGTCCCCTGTATATGTGTTATGGGGGAATTGATATACCAGAGGAATTGATATACCAGAAGTATTGTTCCTGTAAAACAATATACCTAGGAAAGATATTCCATGATCAACAAAATTGTTCCGGGACAGTTCTTGTTCTTGAAGCACATACATACCAACACATTCCCCAGCCACGTCCAACAATATGTAATTACAGGTTCTAATATTCCTTGGTTTAAATGTTTAAATGGTCTAGGAACTTAATGTCCAAGGACCTGTGAAGATCCGGGATAGAATAGGTCTTCAGCAACCCATGCATGCTGTAAAAGGCGATGTGCTTGTCATAAGAGGCGATTAACAGGATCAGGTGGTCTGGCTCACTGACTTGATTGATACATGTCATCGTATCCGAGTTGGATCGATGCTCATGATGTCAATCACTGGATTTTCTGGTCCAGACTCGATTATTTAGACCGCCATTATATAGCTGTAATATTGCTGTGTGCGGCATTAAAGAACAACAAACAAACAAACTTACTGTCCTAGGAAATTGAATAACACTTCCAAATTAGATGAAAAGAAAACAGTTGCCTCACTACTCCAATGTGGTTTATTTTCAGGAGGAAAATCTTCTTTTGACATTCAAAATTGATTCACTGTTATACTTCATTATAGTATGGCAGAGAGAGAAAACAAACAGCACGTGCAAAGTTATTAAGTTCTTGATTAGAAGTACTCATATATGCTCGATTGTCGTTTTGGTTTACATCATCTTGGCCTTGTGAGGTTTACTATTTCAGCTTTGGCTTGATCCATAGGGGCGGTCGGGTAGCCTAGTGGTTAAAGCGTTCGCTTGTCACGCGGAAGACCCGGGTTCGATTCCCGACATGGGTACAGTGTGTGAAGCCCATTTCTGGTGTCCCCCGCCGTGATATTGCTGGAATATTGCTAAAAGCGGCGTAAAACCATACTCACTCACTCACTTGATCCATAACATCCTCTCCACCATCCAACATTATCACTCAGCATGGCAACACCTCCATCATCCAGATAATCTTGAATAACAATAACATGTTCCGGCTGGTCTTCCACTAAATCAGATGTTCCTTGTTCATGATCTCAGCTTTATGCTTCTCTCGTGAAACAAGTGCACCAGAATGTTGTATAATATCGCTATTTCTACGCCATTCTAAATCACTCACTTTCACACACGCTGTTTGCTTTTCTCGACCTACGCATGACAATTTTCAACTTTCGCATTTAATAGTCCTTTGACGAGTGGTGGTTATTTTTATCTACAAGACCAAATGTTTTTTCTAATTTACGGAATATGTCGTATATATAAAAGGCTCACACATATGCTCTGATGGATGAGGATTAAATTTCCTTGGTCAGTTTCTACATATGTATTTTTTTTACATTTCCCTTGGATATTTATAGCTAGGACTATTTATTACTCACATTAACACTGAACTTGTCCTAAAAACTAATTTCATCTGATATTACTTGATGCCTAAGATAGGCAGAAGGTGGGATATATTTAATTGTTGATGGGTTTGCAACAGTTGAATAGTGGGAAAAGGCATGGTTGACATGGCAGTATTGAAACAACTGTAATTATGTTTTGAAATATTTTGTACTTTAATAATGAAAAGTGCACATGCTATCAGTGATAAATAGAATTTAAATGGAAAAAAAACATCCATGAAATAAAATAACAAAGGTCTCTTATTAAAAATAGCGCTTTACATTTACACATAACATAACACATAACCAATTTGGATGTTAAACAAACAAACATAATTACTGTGTTTTTCATTCCCTCTCTAAATTTTAATAAAATGGATTGTTTTCTTTGCATTGCATTGTGTATCACACACAGGTGTACAAACAACTGTGTATGTTCTCTGAAGAATTTAAAGAATGAAAAAATGATGAACCAAAAATATTTATATGCCAAAACAATGTTTTACAAAGGTAAAACTTGAAAGAAAGTGCCCAAACTGATGACATGTGGAGCCTGTTCTACTCAAATAGCGATAACAGGTGCACACTGGCTTCCACTTCACACAAACCAAGCGGATGTCAGTGAGATGGTTCGTCTGTCTTACAGACCCTGATACAAATATATATATCAAGTCTATAATGTTTGGCAAGTCTAGATCTGAAAATGAAGAGAGCCTCTGGGCTCCCTTTTATTATATTTTTATTAAGATATTTGAACAACTGTTTTTTTTTTGTACAATATGTTCATTTCAGAGACAAGATGTTTGTCTATGAGATGGGTTCAACACTGCTTTGAATAACACTTCAGTTATATCCTGGTGTGTCCATGTTGGGGAAAAGCCTGACGTAAAGATCTTAAATACTTACCACTTGGGTGAAACACATAAAGATTTGCATGGTGCTGACAAACCAACAATCATGATATGAGTGATACAAACCCATGATCATCGGACTCTGGCAAACCTAAGGGAGACAACTCAATACAGCCAGCAATAGATGGTTACTCTTCTGAAAGACATTTTACCAGATTACCGATCCTGTCAATACTGGAAACAAGAAATATATTTCAGAAAAACATGTAATTCTACATAGGTATAAAATTACACTTGAAAAATATCCCTGTCCATTAAGCTTTCAAGGGCAATAAATCATTCAGTACATACAGACAAATTTATAAACAATGGTATTCCACTATCAGAAAATAAACCCCACTCAGACACTCAGATTCATACAACAATTTACCTTACACAAATGGATTTGTTTTAAAAACCACAAACAAATGACAAATATTACTCATGTTGAAAATGTACCCCAAAATAACAATGGGTCAAATTATCAATGTTTACAGCCTGTTCAAACTTATTCAATAAATCTTTAAAGCACACAGCCAATCTAATAACCACAGACTGATGATATCACAAGTAAACGGACCAGTCTTCATTGGCTCCCTATGTCCTGGTAGCAACAAAAATTCTTCATTGTGTTTATGGTTGGGGTCTGTTAGATCCTGTTGGAGCCTGTTGGAGCCTGTTGGCC